AGTATGTTGCGTTTCTAAGCTCTGCATTGTTTCAGATTCTCGTAGGTTTCCATACACGGCATGGCGATATGCCATCGACCACTACCACTAGATTAGATCGGTCTAAGCCCTTTGGTCTGGGCTTCATGTATGTCAAGGAACTGCACGGGAGCACTCGCGGCCGGGATCAGGTATATTTGCATTTGTACAATAGCGGCGACTATGACAATATTCCGCTATCGACACGGCCGTATTACATCCTACCTGTTATGAGGGGCGGACTTGGTCGATCTAACAATCTCAAGAGAGGCCGATCATCGGGGGTATCTGGATCGGGAGTGATGCAAGGTGTGGAAGATGTACCAATGAGGAAGCGGCGTAGGACCAGTAGTCTAGGCTCTGAGGTCTCTGCCCAGACAGTGCGATGAAGCAGCACGGGTGAGGCTCTTGGTTATGCGCGGGGATCGCAGAAGCTGTCCAGGCCCGCGGAGAGAATTCCGAGCAGCCGTCAACAAGATCTACTGACGAAGAACTATCGATGCTAGAGGTTGAGCCGCCGTTTGTCGAAGCGACGCAAGAGAGAACTCGAGAGATGGCGGGGATGGGGAATGAAATGCAGGATCGTGAGTTGGACAATGCTGGGGCTCCGTCAGGAGAAGACGAGATCGAACAGCACCATGAAGGATCGCACGAAACCCCTCGTCTGGAGATGTGCGCACATCGGGTGGAAGAGGCAGTGGAGAGGCAGAAGAGGAGGGGGGGGGGATGAGGAGGGTACAGCTGACTCATTCATAGACTATGATGCTGCTGAAGACAACAATCTGTTCGAGGCCCTCTCTGAGTCATTGTAGTTCGCCTCGCCGGATGAAGATGTGGAGAGGTCCCCAAAGAGCTCAAGATCGGAGACTTAAAGCTGGGGTGGAGGATCTGTCGACGAGTGGCTGCCTTCAAGCGTGTTACTGTTCCTAGATGACGATGCCTTTTCTACATGTAGAGCATCACCTTTGGCCTTTATAGAACAATCGGCCAAAAAATTGGTCGATGCCATGACCCTTCAGGTTTTCGCTCCCGAGAGGATGCCACAGGTCTCGATCATCCACCGCGTCGGCTGACGAGCTGCTACCTTCCCCGATATCAGCACTTTTGCTCACCTCGAGTAGTTTGCCAGTGTAAAATTCAGAGTGTGCTGATCCTCTTCCAACGCGTCCTCGATGGCTGTGAAACCCTCTGTACGGGCATTCCAAAACTTTCTTCACCAGGACACATCAGGAGCTTTCCCTCTGAGTCTTAATGAGTTTCGTCTGCTAGTGTCAGATTGCCACTCTGAGCCCGTTCTGACACGGTGTAGCCTAAGAGTATACATGAATCTAACAAATCCGAAGATGAGGACTCCATCATGTCCTCTTCACTATTTTTTCCCCTTCCCCTTCCTCCCACTTCCCCCCTCCTTTGAGTTTTTCTTCTCTGCCTCGCGTCCTGATTCCCCTCCAGTCTAGCGCAGTGGTAAAAGAATGGATTCCTGAGCCGAAGGTTGTGCGCGGCCCCCTGCGAGGTTGCGAGTATAAGAATAATGCAATCAGTGTGCGAGTCAGTGACTCGGAGTCACGAAGATTGCGATACCGTAATTTCTGTGTCCTAACTCTTCCATCTTCCACGTGTCCTGTGCTATACGGACTTGGCATATGCGGGGGGGGCATCACGCCACAAACGAGATGAAGCTGAGCTAACGTATCGACGCAAACTGCAACATTATTACATGCACATAATGTGCAGCACATTAGAGTATCCCAGAGGAACAGGTGGAAGTCAGTCGAGCTGATCGTACTTGTTTCAAATTGCAATAAGCATGAACCGGAGTGGCATTTCGTTTGTCGCCCCGTAGCGAGCTAGACACAGAATCTTAGCTGGTAACAACGCGATTGTCTACATTTCCAAAGCAAGGCATGATGTAGAGTGGGGTTCATTTCCTAGTTTGATCAGCTCAATTAGCATTGTAGTTCTTTTACGCTCTTTCATGTCTATTTTCGCTCACAAGTGGATCGTGCTATCAGTGGTTTCTGCTTCGGTTACCTCCTGTTTCTCGTCATCTGTTCAAGATGACTATTGCCGGAGATTTGTTGGTCCTGATTCCTATTGTGACCATTCAATCTGCCACGGTAGTCTCAATAGCTGTACCGAGTCCGCGATCATCAACAGTGTACTTGGACGACGCCAGGCTGATGCTGATGTTGTAGACTCGGATGTTAGCATCTCGAGTGGTGCAACTGGTGTTCAAACCATGCTTGTTACGAACTGGGATGACTACTGTCGTGACAAGGTTGGTGCGGCATCTTATTGTAAAACGTGGGACCGGTTTCCAGTTTGTCAAGGATCTGATGTGAGCTGTGGTGACGGTGAAATTGCCACTTCTACTATTCCGGAAACTACTCGAGCTGCTGGTGATAAAACTACCGTTCCAGTGACTACGACACGTTCGGCTGCAGTGCTTACGACTAGTGGTGGAACGGTTAACTGGGATGAATATTGTCAGAAGGAAGTGGGACCCACTTCATATTGCAAGATCTGGGATGCATCACCAGTGTGTCAAGGCTCGAGTGTGAGGTGTGGTAATGGTGCTGTGGTGACGACAGAGCATAACTTCCACCCTACTACTCCTCATTCTGGAGGTGACCATGAGTACTGTCCAGGTCTGCCTGCTGGTGAGTATTGTGGCAACATCAATGGCGAAATGGCTCTATTCCTCATCGAAGGAGACGTGTTCTTCTTCGATTACCGATATATTCATGGGGTAAAGGTTGACCTGAAGGAAGTCCCCTTCCATCTGTACAACTGCGAGGAGTTCGTGCCCGATTACTCAAGTTGGCAAATGGAGCGTTTAGCCCGAGAGTTGGGTCTGACCACCGATCAGCTTCGTCAGAAACTTACCATCACGTATCGTCGATCTAGTGATAGCTTCCACTTGTATTGGGAGCGGAGTGTCTCGACAAGTATGTATCATGACGAGTGTTGAGCCCGAGAATGGTGGTCATCATCATCACGGTTACTGAAGTGCTCTTTTCTGCGCTTGTTGTCTGCTATGCTCCTCTCAGAGCTGTCTATCACCTTTTCTTTCGTCTAAGTCGATGAAATACTACTGGCTGTACTTTTTTTCCGAGACGTTCCTAGCGTGAACGCCGTGTGGATTGCACGGTACGGTCATGCGCAGCTGGCGTCTTCCAGCTTTCATCTGTGCGACCTTTGGTTGCCTATCTGAGCATTATGCTCTGCTGTGTGGCTCGTCTTTTTCCTTCTACTCAACTTGGTATGTGTAATGCTTTGAGTTCGAGTGAGGTTAAACCGGAGTTCGTAAGGGAGGTTTGTCATGGACTATGATTCATAGTTATGTCTCTAGTAGCAAAATTATCGTTTTATCCCCAGTGCTACTGATACAGCATTCAGGGTTTCGGACATTCATTTGACACTCGCTGGAACACTCCTTGCTATGCGTTCTCACCGATTCTGCTGTTGCTCAGTCTTAGCCCTTGATTCGGAACTCGAAGACAAGAATGGCTCAGTATCCGACAATGGCTCAGTCGAGCGAAGCCGTTCGGTGCCCCGCTCCGTTCGTTCCTTCATACGAGGCTCTGCAGTAACAGCCTCCGAATGAGTGGGCTTGATTCCATCCTTCGGCGCCTCCGGACACTCGTTATATCTCCAAGCTCACTGTGATCGCTCCAATGACCGCTGAATATCACTGTTGCCTGTTCGTATCGTTGCGCAACTGCTCTGTAACACGACTCATGGGGAGGAGACGAAATAAAGACGTATTATGGAGAAGGGCGAGCACGCAAGTACAATAGGCTGGCGCTTGCGTGCTGTCCACGTGAAAAGAATGAGTGAAGGTTAAAGTCAGAGTTACAGACTATGGCTAGTTGAATCTCGGCTAAATGGCAACATATCTACGGTCCCCAGATTCAATAGCCAACTACACCTGAAGATCTGACTCTATGCAGGACTTAGCGACATTATGATGAGAGACGGTGGATTCTCGACCTGACTTGATGTTACGTACTAAGAGACGTCTAACAACACCATCAGAGCCAGGGAGAGTCTTGACAACCCGAGCAGGATTGATAGACTTGCCGCTCTTGACAAAGACCAACTCATCAGCAGCGAAAGAAAGAACTCCCGCTCTACCTCTACTGCCACCCCGGGCATTGCGGGTGGAACGATCCTTTAACCACTGAAAGTGAAAAGAGAGAAAAGAGTTTCTAACAGCTGATAATCGCCTAGGAGGCGTCCCGAGAGCGCCTCCAGGTAAGAAACCCGGACCACCTTGACGAACAGCAGCAGATTCGATGAGTAGGTCGATACCGGGATCATCATCCCCACCGCAGCGAACACCATCTTGGGACAATTCGAACAAGGGCTCAGTGAGGCGATCTGTTCGTCGGATATAACCGAAACACAGACTATCAGGGCATATAGTATTCACTTCCTCACCAGTACTGCTGATACCGAGCGGTCGCTGATTCATAATGAGCGAAATCTCCATCAACAACATCCGCAAGGAGGCAACGTCAGCAACAGAACTCGAATCAAATGTGGCCAATAGTCGCCTGAATAATGGCAACTCACCAAAGAAGCGAAGTAGACGGCGAACTTCTTGGTTTCGGCGCTCATATAGAGACCCTTCAAATGGCGAGCGAGAAGCCAAATGCACACTTTGAATGCCCAAGTTCTTGAGACCATCCAAGAATGAACTGCTGCGAAAATAAGCCGCACGGTCTGAGAAGACGCACAATGGACGGCCGAACATCAGAGACAGCTCCTTGATAGAATCCAGAGAGCACTTTGAGTCCTCTCTGGGAGTATATAACAAAGTACAATGCCGTGTTGCCGCACAGACGCAGACAATGGCTTTGACCTTAGGTGCCAAGGAGACGTAGTCGATCCCGACGACACTGTAGGCAGGCAGTTTCATGAGACTACTAATGTCAAAAAAGGGTCCCCCACACGGAACGGCCCAGTTCTTAGGGAACGTCGCACAGAACCGTGCACAGAAGACACAGTGCTGCCGCACCGCTACAGCCGCGGATCGGAGTCTCTCAGCGTGGAAGCCTTGACCAACCTTACCACACATATAGTCCACTCCACAGTGCCCATAACCTCGGTGGACATCTCGAAGAAGCATATCTCGGAGGAGACCGCTAATTAGTGGCCGAAAGAGAACTACTCCGGAGGCAGAACTAGAGCGGAAGGTAAGTACTCCCTCAATGTCATAGTATGGGTCTGCTAGGTCCTTGCCTCGGACAGTAGCCACGGTCGGATTTCTCCCTTGGTCGATACGAAGAAGAACAAGTAGGTCATCCCGATCCCAACTCTGAGGGAAAGACGCAAAATCCCTCGCGCGAGGACCGCGACGAGACTTGTCCTGAATGACGACCCGCCAAACTCGTAGACACCAGCGGGCGACCGCAACCTGACGGCATGCGAGGCTCAGACTCCAACAGCTACATCGCAGCTTCAACGACAAGGGTTCACCGTCATCGGAGGGATCGGAGCTTAGTAGGGAACTTCGTCCCTGGTCGCTGACAGCGAAACACCGATCCACGAAGATCTTCTCCTGCATAGCGAAGCTGACTTCCGGACAAACTTGCTGTATAACATAAAGAGCAGCCTCGTCGACCTCTGGCAAGGAGGATATCGGGTGCTCTTCTTCGTGCGGCCTAGAGCAGCCAGGGCCACAGTAATCAAAACACAGGTCGTGGACTTCAGCTGCTCCCAGAATTTCCGCCAGGACGAAGATATCGTCGGCGGACGGATAATCGACAGTGACAGTGGCACGGTTGAGCAGTTGGAACAGTGGTAGAGATGCTTGTTCCTTGACCCCAGTGCTCAGTACTCGGCTGAGGTCGTCGGCCGCGATATTCTGGATCCCAGGAAGATGCATAATTTCATACGATCCGCAGGCCTTCCGTATCTCGCCCAACTCATTCCCTAGAGCCGAAGCGATACGATGCAGAGCGTGGCGTTCCACCGCTGTGAACTTCAAAGTGCTGCAAGACGAAAGACACCAACGGACTGTACTGTGGTTGTCAGACTGGATGATTGGTGGATCTAAAGCGACCCGCGAGGTACTGAAGGACATTGACAACAGTTGCCTCAAGATACGGGACAACCAACAGACACCACGATGAAGGGCCATCATCTCCCTACGATTTGAGTGGTACCGCTGCTGAAGAACCGTCCAGGAACATGCGTCTCGGACTAGAGGCAACAGAGACCCATCACCTTGACGTAAGCCTATAAACACTCCTGCCCCAGAGGCGCTCGCATCAGTTTGCAGAACTAGTTGGAGTCGGTCCCCTGCGAGCGGGATGTGGTGTTCACAAGGAGATGATACCGAGTTCTTGATGAAGTCGATCCAACGTGAACGTATTTCCATCCAACATCTCCATTGGTCCGCCGAGAAATCATCTTGGCCGAGCTCGCGAAACCATGATACCTTGTTGAAGACCGAGCCGAACAATCGGCGGGCTGCATCACAGACTGGCTTAATTTCGCCGTGCAGAGCTAAGGGATCGTGCCCCAAGGCACCAGAGACGGCGTATATGGCGGTCTTAGACCAACAAGGCCTTTCAAGAATAGTGAGGGTGGCTTGGAGCTTCTCAACGCGATCGCATCGGAGTGAAAGGGCCCCTTGGCTGAAGCTGGCGCGAACACCGAGCATGGAGGCTTCAGTTTTCATGAAGGGCTTTAACAGGGATAGCTCAGGGGCATCGGGGTCTAACGCCAAGATGGATCTCAGGAAGATGCATAATTTCATACGATCCGCAGGCCTTCCGTATCTCGCCCAACTCATTCCCTAGAGCCGAAGCGATACGATGCAGAGCGTGGCGTTCCACCGCTGTGAACTTCAAAGTGCTGCAAGACGAAAGACACCAACGGACTGTACTGTGGTTGTCAGACTGGATGATTGGTGGATCTAAAGCGACCCGCGAGGTACTGAAGGACATTGACAACAGTTGCCTCAAGATACGGGACAACCAACAGACACCACGATGAAGGGCCATCATCTCCCTACGATTTGAGTGGTACCGCTGCTGAAGAACCGTCCAGGAACATGCGTCTCGGACTAGAGGCAACAGAGACCCATCACCTTGACGTAAGCCTATAAACACTCCTGCCCCAGAGGCGCTCGCATCAGTTTGCAGAACTAGTTGGAGTCGGTCCCCTGCGAGCGGGATGTGGTGTTCACAAGGAGATGATACCGAGTTCTTGATGAAGTCGATCCAACGTGAACGTATTTCCATCCAACATCTCCATTGGTCCGCCGAGAAATCATCTTGGCCGAGCTCGCGAAACCATGATACCTTGTTGAAGACCGAGCCGAACAATCGGCGGGCTGCATCACAGACTGGCTTAATTTCGCCGTGCAGAGCTAAGGGATCGTGCCCCAAGGCACCAGAGACGGCGTATATGGCGGTCTTAGACCAACAAGGCCTTTCAAGAATAGTGAGGGTGGCTTGGAGCTTCTCAACGCGATCGCATCGGAGTGAAAGGGCCCCTTGGCTGAAGCTGGCGCGAACACCGAGCATGGAGGCTTCAGTTTTCATGAAGGGCTTTAACAGGGATAGCTCAGGGGCATCGGGGTCTAACGCCAAGATAGAGAACTTGGCCAATGCCACCAGAAATCCACAGATACCAAGGAAGAATATCAACGTAGAGAGAATTAGGTAACAGACAGAGAGATCCCCGTCGCTCAAGGCTATGGTCAGGTCGTCCACAAATTCTGCGATTCCACCTCGCCCAACCGAGCCTGGGGGTGCCGCCAGTAGACACTTCACCTGACGTCCCAGGGATTCCTCTAACGATTCGGGTCCATGAAGGACCCCAAAACAGACCCTATCTGAAGAATAATACGCGTCATCACCCGTGTGCATTTCAAGACGATTCAGACACCCTTCATGTGAGCAGTGTCGGAGCATATAGAATGCGGAATGACAATCTGCAAAGATCAGTACCGCTGGTCGAAGGAGCCTCAGGCAGCACATAAGGACAGGGATGAAGGTAGTGTGAGTGGAACTCGACGGTAACGCCTGGTTCAAGGGCCGATAATCACAAACAAGACGACCCTTTTTACTCGAGCCGGTCAGGAAGACCTCAGCAGCAGCAGCTGAAGGTTTAGAGGACATGCGCCGCCAGTGACCTCGAGAGACGTACGTGGAGACCAGTGACTGATACAGCAGCC